ATATATATATATATATATTATATATAAATTATATATTATTATATTTATAATATATATAAATCAGATAAAGTAAATCATATATAAATCAGCGAATTGTAACTACATATGTGTTGCAAACATGATTTATGAAACAATGACAATTTAACACATTGGCATTTATTATAAAGTATTTATCATTAAAATTATCCATTTATTTATTTTATATTAATTTCTTAATAAATAAATTTCGATCTATTATTTCTTATTATCCTTGCTACGTATATACAAAAGGATTTATTTATTCTTAACTAATACTTTCTACATAAGATAAATTTAGCATTTTCTAACATTTACATTTTTTATAATAAGAGATAATAATAGAATAAAAAATTCTATGTATATACTTCGAAATCAGACAAAAAAACTGCAAATTTTAAGAAACAATAGACAACTTTTTACATATAAAGTTATTTGAAATCATTAGCTACGAATAATGCAATCACTCTCATTTTTTACGCCCTTGTACGTTTAGACATTATTAGCATATTGCAAGCTATATACGCTTAATTAACATTTTAAAATGCAGAAATATAATAATAACCATATATATTCACATCAACATCATTATTTACGTGTGTTTGTAAAACAAATAATATATTGTTAAATTAAATTTTTGACAAATCAAAGTAGACATTTTTTTTGCATCGTGTTAAATGTATAAAAATAGAAAATATGTTTGCATAAAGCATAACTTTCGAGTGAGCTAAAATATAATTTTTGTCAATATTTATTTTACCAACTAATCGGAAAATGCGATTGCAAATAATATGTGTGTGCCCCCCTTTATTGGATCTACAGACTTTCTTCCTCAAGTGATGGCGAGGTCAACAGAATTACCGCTTGAAATGGAAACGGTAAAAGCCAGCTACTCTGGCATCTTCTGGCGCAAAGGGGTTAATAGATTGGTGGCTTTCTACGTCTTTAGGGAAGGAAAGTCTATTAGTAGACGCTCGGCTTGCAATGTGTTAATTACGCTCCTCACGAAGTACCCTGGTCACTCTGGCCTGATCAGCCAAGTATTCCGGACTCCACGTAAAAATGACTCTTCTCTCTAGGCTTTGCTTTACGCAAATTTCATGTACAACAGGAAGAGATCTTTCACGGAGAGCAGTGATTCCTACGCAGTGTCATTCTTTTATCGATCTTCCTTCGTTGTAACGTTCACCGCGATTAGACGTCTCGTGTCTGGCAAATGCTTTCTATATTGCGTTAATTTTCTTCGCGTTAATAGTCCCTAGGTGCACAACGATGGCCTACGTGGATAAACCACCGGCCAGTATCACAGTCATGGCAGTTATCCCGAAATTCGTAAATAAATGACGATGAAACGACGATGAGGCCGTGGCCGATTGAAAATCGATCTGTTCATCGCTAATATCGTCGCCCTTCAGCATCGGCTCGTCTTTCATACCGATGGTTTTTTTCTCGTGGCCGTGATCGATCTTCCATGATTTCTTCGACTCCCGCCTCGAGCCTGGTCTGCGCGTCGTTGGCGGCTTATCGATCCCTGAAAATATGGCGATACAATAAATTCAATGATCAGAGTTAGTGTAACTAAGTAACGTATCAGGTGTGCTTTTAATGGGAAGTGGGATATTTTGAGGCATGCTTCTAGTACAGATCCTTTTGCGGTTTAAAATATTTGGAAGACTAATGTGTATCTCGCTATACCTTCTATACTTCTATATAGATCCTTCAGAAAGTTACTTTTTCTCTTGTTAAGTTTTTGAATAGTTAGTATTTTCTTAACCGCTTCTTTCTCATAATATTCTAGTTTTTAATGTTTCTAAGCATCGTTTTTAAAATTAACTATAAAGAATATAATATCATTAATTAATGTACTCTTTTTTTAAGAATTTCTTTATTTATATAATCAATAATATAATAATAATAATAATTTATATAATCTAGAAACTGTTATTCTCTAAAAAAGCAAATTTAAATAACAAATTCTTCAGTTAGAGCGAATGAAATTAAATACGTGAGTTTAAATATGTGCAATCCATTACGATGAAATAGAAGCGGCGCGATTTCAAAGTTTATTATAGAAGCTAAAAGCTACGTGTTTCTGTATTAATTTATAAGCCATGCTTATCGTTGTTTACCTAGCATAGGTTTCATCAATCAGTTTCAATATAAAATCATTTGCGACGGATATCTGTCGAAGTAAACAGACCTTCCATATCAAATAGAAATATTTGTGAGATGGGTAACACATATGATAATAATTTTCGCAATCATGCGATATACATATTTATATATTTGCAACGTTGTCATAATCTATCGATACTCATCTTTGGTTCGCAGTCTCAATTGTTAGCGATTTTCACCTCCAGTACGTTATGCGGCTTACGCGTTGTCATCGTGCGGATTAATTAGAAAAAGTCTACTTTCGGTCTCGTGCGGGAATGTCGATGCACGCACGAGAGAATTAATATCGCTTCCGAACTCTTGACATTTCGACGGAGTGTGCAAGTGACAAGAGCTCTCCGGGTTTTGCGGGAACACCACCGTACGGAGCGACATTCCAATACGTCAAACCGGGGAGCATCGCGCGGAAAGTCCGACCGCCTGGCCGATTATTTTTCCGGTTATTACTCGCGGACAGGCTTTACCGATATCTCGATTCGCCATTTACGCCCGTTCGTTTCAAACGCGGTTCGACGTAAAGCGGCTTTCTGCTGCGTTGTATACCACGGTGGACGGTTCAATTTCTATTCGGATCGATCAGACCGATCTTTAGGCGCCAACGTTTATCAATGATCCAGCAATTAGTTAATGTATTTTCTATTCGTTATCGTTGATTTTTATCGACATCATGAAACGTAAAGGCAAATGTAATTCAATTTTTGATGGTAGCGGACATAGATTCGCGTAAGCTAATTGATCAAGAAGTAAAATTGAGAAATACGTGTTCATTTGTTAATTCTGTTTCTGCTGTGATATTGTCGAACAATTTTTGTGAGAAAAGAAGTATACGTATATAGCGTATTTTCAAATGTACTTAATTACTTATACTTCTCTATACTTATACTTCTCTATGTTTTATCCTTTAAAGCCAGCTCTCTTTTGCATATTTCAGATTGAAAGTTACCTTCGCAAACAGATGTGAGCCAAACATTGTTGAAATAGTAATCAACTTTCGTTCGATGTGCAGAAGCTTATACAACGTTGATTTCAATTCGCAAGCGACAATTGTGTTTGCACTTCTGCAAGGTCAATGCGTTTATGTTTACTCGTAGTAGCTGTTTGCAAATCTCGGAAAGCGTACGCTGCGCGCAGCAGTATTCGGAAGTACAGATGCGGAATGTATGCACTCTCGGCGATCCTGACAGGTTCGGTTGTAACAGCGCAATTTAATAAATACATTAATTAATTCCCTCGGACACTACGCGTTCCGGAATTGAATACCGGAATTGTGGTCGGACCTGCGTTACTGCGCCGTTACCGAAAAGCCGTTGCAACAGCTGTTCGTCTCGAATACCTTAAATGACGAATTTACATTTATTAGCGTGCCGTTATATCATCGTCTTTGATGCTCGCTGTGTCTGCGGTAATGAATATTGCGACTGCGGTTTAAGATGCTCAGAGCTCTTCCACCTCACTGCAATTAGCCAGTAATGTGTTCCGCCTCTATGTAAGACCTGGAATTCTGTTCACTTCACTACCGGTGATGCCCTGCCATTTCACGATAACGCGCTTTATTGCGTCTGAAGGTGAGCAATGATCAACCGTGGGGCTAAAATAATTCAACTTGTCTTCTTTCCATTTATCTTTTCATCCGTCTTTCGCAAAGAATTACGAATAACGCGGAGAATTATGGATATACCTTAGAAATTTCGCATCATTAGCCTCGAAGAGATGCTGAGGGAGAAGGGTCGCAATTACCTTATTCGTACAATTCTAATCATAAAAATTGAGAGAAATCTAATAATTCCGCGCATGCGTATAAATGTATCTGTATTATCTGTACGTTATTCAAATAACTTGTCAAATACACAACTTGACGCAATTAATTTCAACACTAACATATTTAAGTCGAATGATGACAGAATTACATTGCTTATTGCTAATAATTTCTTGGAGTTACTTTATCGTATTGAATCAGATTTACCAGGCCAATTGCGATTTAATTCTTTCTCAAAGAGCATCCGCTTGCTTCTGTCGGCAAGCGAAGCAAAAGTGACCTAACGACCATGGCTACCACGGCGCGTTTATCGGTCACATCTATACGGGCGCGCGCGCGCGCGCGCACGCTCCCTCATCCGGCGATATAATGCAATTTGAATATAGGCCATCATGCACAGACTTTGCATGCCATGCGTGCACGTCATTGTGCAGACTCGGAACGAGCGACGCGATGTGGCGCGACTCGGGCACACAAATTCCCTCGCAGCCTTAGCTGCTCTTAAAGCATCCCCCTCGCGATTCAGCCCCTTTTCGCACAAACCACGCCGCGTCCGTCGATAATTCGTCCTTTCTCACCTCCCTGCTCTCCTCCCCCTCCCCCCGTAGTCAAGCTCGGGTAAGATACCCATCGAAGTTAACCGACTTCGGCGAAGCATGTAATTCACGGGCCGCCTGCCCGCTTCCCAGTAATTATTGCTAATATTGTTAAACGTGTGCGCGACGTCGCGCTGCACCCCGGCACCGAAAAAAGCTCCCGATAATAGCGACAGGGCGGCACGCTAGTTGACCGACATTTCAATGGGACGCGAGTCCGCTGAATTAAACTGCTGGGCTAATTATTGGAGAAGTGATTCGCGAGAATGGAAATTTGTGATGGTCTGTACTGGCGTGCGGGCGTGTCCCCGGGCTTTCCACGTCGACGGTTCGACCGCAGGCATTTTATTTGCAATTGTCGGTAATTAAGTGCCTCGCGCTCCCTACTCTCCGGCTCTCCCGTTTCTCCCCCTTTCCGTTATCCAATCAACATTGAACGGCGATTTTTGTTAAAAAGTCATCGTTTTCTTCCTCTCCCTTTGAACGCTTCCGTCGCTTTCCTCGCTCTGCCCCCGTTCCCTTTTCCTCACCTCTCAATACGACACTCTAATTGGAGAGACGATCAATTAACATCAGTGAGATCGAACGGAACGGACGGGTCGTGCTTTACGCATTTGGCGTGCTTGCCACTTGAATCTCGCGCGTGAGATCCAATGAAATATAATGACGGCGAGCGGAATGGACGCGTGACGTAGTGACGCGAAGATGAAATGACATGACGTGACGCGACGCGATGCGATGCGACGCGACACTACAACTCGATTCCCTTATCCCACATGCGGCTCGATTCGCAGCGACGGTACCTCCTAGGAACTCCCCTTATGAAGTGTCACTTTTAGTTTGCTCTTCTTCTTCTTTTTCTTGTACGCGAAGAAATGGCGAAGCTAGTAACGTTCGTTAGCTAACGAGCGGCAGCGCACGTCTTGCGAGATCGCCGCTCTTTCGCTCCCATCAACGCAACGAGGGTGAATGGGTGGAACAAGGGTAAACAAGTACGGAGCCGGTTATCCGGAGCTTCCAAAGTTCATATGCATAGAACGATGATGGAGATCAAGCGCCGTGCGGAACGAGGCGCGCGGGGGTGCATTGGTACACTGAGATTGGGGCAATTACGTCGAGAAGGCAATATCGATCGGCGATAAACCGATAAGTTATCCGTTTAAGAATCGCGTCCGCCGCCGGTTTAATTCCGGGACGGGAGATGTTTCGTTGCCCCCGAAATAACCGGCGTTGCCGGGATACAGGCGGGAATTTTTTTTATTCATTTTTCGCCCCGTACGCCATTACGCCACAATGAGTTTTAATCCATGAAACATGTTTAACTACAAAATCCGTTTTCACGAAACATACGTATGCTTGACTATGAAATCCATATCGTATTTTCCAATAATGAGCGAAACTAAATTTAAATCCCTTATGTACATACAACTGATGCGATTAGAAAGAATAAAAAAAAATATAACGATAATAATAGGAACACAGGGTTTGCGTAGTCTATTAAAGCGTAATACATACTCATTATTTCCTACTGTTTATATGTAAAATATAGAGCACGCGAATAGCTAATCCTTTTTCCGCGCATGATACGCGCAATGCAGGAAAAACAGGAAGCAGAGGGGAAGGAAGGAGAGCGCGTGGGCAACATTTACAAAATAAAATTTAATTATCAGTAAATTATCTGTATCACGTAATTACGTCAGGTAATCACTACAGCATGAATATTAAAACACACATATACAGATGATACGCGCAATAATATACATATTATGAAAATTAAACGAGATATTTAGTGCAGACAGCTTTTTATGCGAAAACGTAGCGTGCAACGTGAATAAAGGAATTGGGAATCGGCTTGAAATAACAAATAATTGAGCGTTCTTTATAAGAACGTAAGCAGTATGGTGAATAGAACGGAAGTACAACGTTACGTACAACTTATACAGATTAATGAGTTCGTAAATGCTACTCACTGTAAAGTTTTATCTTCCCGTCGGTCTCTCCGAGGGAGTTTGTCGCCACGCATCGAAAGGATCCGAAATCCTGCGCGCGTACGGATTTTATGACGAGCTTCATAAGCATTTCGTATAATCCTTTCGGAATTGTTTCGACCTTATAGTTCTCGTCTGAAAAGTGTTGAAAATATCGGTATAGAGATTACGTGCGGTAAATACGCTGATGCGCATACATCGGACTCGCAAAACGCTAATTTCCGTAGAGATTTACGCGATCAATCATAGCGCGCAAATAACATTATATATATAGTTCATAAAGAAACAAACCCGTTATAATCAAATGCGCGGGCAACAACAAAATTAACATCAATAATTAATAAAATGAAGCTCGTGATGCACGCGCATAGATGAAAAATACACTTGTTCGTCCTAATCGAAGTCAATGATTCAGAAGGCTGTTAACGGGGAAACGCATGACGCACAAAATCGGCTTTTTTCGCGTTGATGCAATTGTACTTGTCCCTCGTTAAAAAGCTAAATTCGTTTCATTGCCGCGGAATGGAGGAGCACTAACTAGACAGGCTCCCATGGCAGCGCGGAATAACAGAAAATTCCGGATCGATGCATGCAGCAGTAAACTTCGTATTTACGTTCCAAGCCGCTTAAACATTATGGAACCGTGCAAAGTACGCGTGGAACGGACCCGTGTTATTCGTGCAAATGTCGTTTTCGTTCTGGCGCGTGGAAGACGACGTGAATGTCGATTTTCATGTTATTAGTTCCAGGCTACGACACTGTCGATGCGAAAACGTTATTTCAGAGGATAGTTGCCCATATCGGTATATGTCGCGTTATCCGAAACAATAAAAAAAATCCCTTTTTGCCCTTTTGTAAGAGTTTGTCCGCTGCATTTCCCCGATTGTAAGGATTTCACGCGATTTTATAAATATGTATTAAAAAATCTGTGGGTTACGATACACTTGAAAAAGAATATTTTGTCGTAAGAATATTTGGAATATTGTTGAACTATTTCTGGTACTAAAAGCGGATGTGTAATAAACTTTGTACAAGCAAAATTAATAGAATAAAATTAAAAAATAAATTTAATTTGTTACTGACTGGATATGGTATTGACATTTTAATTAAGAATCAGACATTTGCTAAATTTGCTGTGAATTTCTAATATTATTAATTTATTTGTTACAATAATAAATTTGTTGTCATTTTGACTAACCTGCTTTCTCGAATTTTACATTTATTATTTGCACTTAATGTTTTCCTTTCTCTGATAGTTATTGTATTATTGATATTATTCTATTGAAGCATAAAAAATAGTATCTTAATAATAGATAAGATTATATTTATATCAACATGTATACGCGTATAAAATAAAGAATGCTCATCGTTATAACGATTCTCATAAAATCATTATTGTTAGATAAAGAGACATTTAGTGAAAAAATGTATGTACCTAATATACACAAATGCGTGTACAAAGTAGCATTTAATTTAAAAATATTGCCTACATAAATTAACAATAACTGCCCTCTGTAATTAATCGATAAAAGTTTTTAATCTTGCTAATCTTAACCATCGATTTATGAGAAACTTTCGTCAAACCCCAATTAAGGCTAAATTGAAATCGCGATAGTAGATAAAAATCGTGATCTGCGTGAGAAGAATTTCGCGTGTTTTTAATTGATTTGCAGATCTTTCATTATAACGCTTTAAGGAAAAATTTTAGCCCGTACAGCAGGGTGCTGTCACGGATTAACGACCCGTCGCGAGATGGCACGCACACGTCTTAAGTTTTAATGCCGCCTGCCCTTGCCCTTAAACCCTTGCATATCGCAAAGGTGCATGGTAGCAATTAGAGTGAAACGACCGCGTTAGCGCGGTGTAATTAAGGCGAATTGCATTACAGCTGCTCGTGCGTGCACCTCCCGGTGTGCGCATGTAAAAAAGGAGGAAAAAAGAAGGGGAAGAAGAAGAAAAGAACTTGTAACAATTATTTCACAAATTGGAATAAAACGCGCTCTCGGTTTCATTAAAACTCTCATTTTTCCTTCTTTTCAGACAATGAGTATTATTCACGGATTCTTTAATGATAAATATTATCTTAAGAAGCAAATTCATGAGAGACGTCAATGTTTGTATGATGTCAAGAGGAAATAATGAAAACTTAATAATCTCAGAATAAAAGTAAAACATTTAAGAATTGAATTATTAATATTATATATGGTATTGTTTTAATATCCATAATAAAAATATCGATATTATTTCGTATGCTTGCATGTGTTCTATTCTACTTGCTCTGAATAAACTTATGCATAAGTTAGGTGCCTGTCATGATAACGAATTTATATTTGTGCGCTCGATAAGAGTACCGAAAATAATTTGAAATACCGGAAAATTATTTAAAATATCAAATTTCAAAATGTTCTCTTAAGATAAACTACGATTATTTATTCTTTTTCTCTGTACTATTTTTATTTTATCGTCAATGAAAATGAAAAGCTATAAGATACCATATTTGAAATACAAATAGAAATATTAGACTCACCATTGGTAATTGTTTCATTCGATGGCCTTGCCCAATAAGTGATAGGACTAGGATGGGCTTCGCTGCGGCATTCCAACGTAACAGTTTGTCCTTCGTAAGCACCCACTAGCTGATTCTCGATCCAAACCATTGGCTGAACTGTACAAGATAGTATATCTCAATAAAATATGCATTAAATGTTATTAACCTCATCACAAGAAATATCTCTTATTTTTATTTTATAAAACTTGCAAATGTCGCATTTTTTTAAATTAAATTTGTGATTGCTTTAAGATAAAAAATCATTACATGGCGCTGACTGTATAATAATTTTATAACTCTGCAAACAGTTGTGTTTAATTAGATGAAGTTTAGCAATATGCTATTGTAGAAATACTTGACGCTGAAAACTATAAAAGCTATGGAGACGCAGTACAAAATTTAACGGAACATCCAATTTTACGAACTCATCACAAGGTCTCGTCACAGCATCTGACGTTTGACGCGAAAGTCTTACTAAAGCTCCGGCACTCATTTTTAAAACATGTTTCCCTCGAAATAGGGCTCTCTTATTTTTTTAATCAATCCAGAAACGTCACTTGTCCTCGTAGTAAGCGACTTGTTATATAGCGTAGCAAAATTACGTAGCCAACGGCGGGAAAGATTTAACTCCGTTTTCAGAGGAACAATGGCCCTCGGGATCAGCTATTCACCATGCCTACCCCGAGAGGCGTCATTACGCGAGATCGCTCACACCACTCGCGCGAGTACGACAATTTAAATTATATTTCGCGACAAGCGCATAAGAAAGGATTTCTACTACCAGGACAGGGCAGAACTGCATAAAATATCATTCGCATGCATTTCCGCAATTATGTATGCGTGAAAAGCAAAGGAACGCGAACAGAACGGAGTCAGAGTTTCGATTGAATTAAAATTTTTGAATAGAAATTCTAATAGAATTACATCTTGCACGCGTTACATCGTATTGTATTTTCAATCTGAAAGATTAATTTACGATGATTGTGAATTTCGAATAATCCACGATTTTTCCAGAGAGATTAAATAATTTCGCGTAACATTTTTTTCTCGCCTTGTAAAACGGAAACATGCATTTAATTATATTTTTCTCAATCGCAACGGAAAAGCCATTTATGCAACGTTTTACGTATTTCATTACGTTTCGCGTTACCGCTTGGCTGGAAGTGTTCCTTAACGTTGGCCATAAAATAGAATCCGAGAGATCACGCGGCGAAATTACGTACAATGTACAGTGAGGAGGATCCGCTTGCTGACTGTTGGTGGCACTCCGTTGGACGCTATACAGAGATACGGTCCCATATGGAGACGCGTGATTCGCGTTATTTCCAGCTCCGGGCCCACGATACTCCTCGCTGCAACAGTTTACATATGTAGATGCAGGCATACAAATTCATGTGGACGTGGATTACGACGCATTATTACGTACGCCTCCGCTCATCGTTCAGCGAAACGCGCCTATGACACGATCTGACCAATTGCACACGTTAATGCCGCGCCGTTAATTTTTAAGCACCCCGAATTACACGAGCACACTTTTGTAATTATAAATCACAAATTCAATCATTCCAGTTTATGGACGATATTATATCTTTCATGATAAAGATAATAATCTGAATTGTTTAATACTACGATATTTATGAAAATATCGTAATATAATAATAATAATAATAATAATAATAATAAATGCAACTTTGTCATATGAAATGCGCATCCAATCTTTGCTAATTCTTGCAAACTTAATAACTTTATGTAATTTGTGCTTTCTTCTTATTTTCCTCACGTATCGTCTCGTAATGTACACGTTGCGTGTACCGCGTAGTGCAACCAACAAGCGTATGCACGATAATTAAGTAGCAAGCAAGTGGTAACGTGAAACATATTTAAACTTGTGTTCTGGTATTTTGCGAAATGTACAAACGCGTAAATTATAATACAGATAGCACAAACTGAGTACACATCCTCTGCTGTGCGTGAAAAAGCAATTAAAAGATTTCCCAATACACATGCGTATTAACAAACAAAAAGAAATGGAACGTTGATTCATTACTATGACATAATTTCGTTAGACTGCACATTGTATTAAATGGAACGTAACATAAATATTAATACGCAAAAGTGGACAAAGTAGCACTCATTACGTCAGCTGTAATTTCATATGTTGTAAATTAATATTTGCTCTCTGATATTTTCCAATAATTTCTGTTTCGCATGTTGCAATACGGTCGACTAGCTTAATATTGCGAAACAATTGATTTCAAGTTTAATTAAAATGTGTATTTCCTTAATTTCGATATTATATAATTAATCGTGCTAATCGATTTGTACATTGAAATTACAATTAGTTCCGCGTCGCGAGTGTGCAATGAAGTTAAATTGACAATCTAGCACATTCATTTCGAGATTGATTATCATATAATTTACATAGTTCCTTTACAGATCAACGGCCTACCGTTGTGCGTATATCGTACTATTATCAGAATAATGGTTTCATAGTTTGCACAATATGAGAGTTAACAACTTATTGAATAATGTATTGAAATAATACACACGTACGTAATGAAACATTCTGTTTTAATGACACCTTTTGCAAACTTCATAAGTAATTCAAAGTACAAGTATGCGTATGCAACACGAAGCTCTGTCATATGCAACAATTAAGAATTTTTTTTAAAGAATAAGAAATAGTCCAACAATATTATTACATATTATCTTTAATTACTTAACAATAAGATTTCTAAGATACTTATAAAACATAAAATATTAAATATAAAATATTATGCGTTTAGAATATGCTTATCAACGATTTCTCAATGATTTTATAAGAATTTTAAAAGATTCTGTAATGATTTTATAATCAGTTAACGCGAAACACTTGTACGTAACAACATCTACACATTTCGACGACAGCTTAAAAGGCATTTTAATTGATATACCTGTTGATGCTTTCGAAGTAAATTCGTAATTCAAACTTTTTACGGTCTGCAAAAAGCAAAATCTCTTGGTATGAATTATCATACAGGAATAAAAGAACCCCGGCTGCACTATTATCGGAAGTCAAACGGAGTGCGCAAATCTCGATTGCGAAAAATCGTAAGAGCGATAGCGCGCTGTGCTGAATACTCCATTTCCCGGCACTTACCGTCTAATGGAATCGCGACCGAATCTTTCCGCAAGACCAACGCGAGACGAGGGGTCGAATAGGGAGACAGCGAGATGCGACAAAATACTTAAAGTGATTCCCTAAAATCGGCTCCGAAAGTTTCGTCCGGTGAATAAATCATCGGAAGTCGGTTCACAATCGATATTTTACCACATCGAGATGTGCTCTCATTTCTACACATTTCTGACCCTCGTCACGATCTCACACGAAGAGAAATATATTACGAAACGAAAATATATTACGCGTGTGTTACATACGTCAGCTTCGCCGGTCTTTCCAAAGCACTGACTTCAGTACGGATTATAGACGAAACAGAAAGGGAAAGGGAGATTGGGAGGAGGAGAGAAGAAGCCCGTATAAGAGGAAGAGACTAAAGCGGTACTTTAGCTATCTGTCTGATGTACAATCGAGAATGTCCCCGACACTTGCTTGCGCAATTAGTCAGCAAAAGATCTAAACAATCCTGATGCGGGTGGCGCGTAAAACAGGAATGCCGTTGAATGAAGCCGACAGTCGAAAGCATGTGAGTGATTGGATTGTGAGAACAGCGAATCTTATATAAGACATGATTTCGGAGAACAAACACATATTAATTAAATCGCGGGATATTACTAATCTTTTGCTCTTCAATCTTATATAAAATTAAATAACTGATTGTGAAACTTTTTGAACGTTTATATACATACCAAATATACATATATCTACAAAAAACCCATTTAATATATATAAATTAAAATAAATATTAAAAAATGCACATATAAGCGTATACTCGTATTCTGAAAAATTAGAAATAAAATCTAATTATACAAATTACATCTTTGTAGTAATAGTTTCTTCAAATATTAGTAATCAAACTGTATTTTTAACGAAAAATTATCATGTATTAATGAAAATGATTCTCGTTAAAATATCGTGAACATTTGTATAACATTTCTTCTGCAACAATTAAGAAATTAAATTACATGTTGATTACTAGTTCCTGTTAGGATTTTACTCAAGACGGCAACGACAGAAATTTGTTCGGAATTGTAAACAAAATTAATTTCTCACCGAATGGGTTAAGTAAATGAGTTTATATTATAAATGCTCAGCAATTTTATTTCGATGGACATTACGCCGGCGGCACTTTGCTGATAATAACATCAGGAAAGAAACCATTTTGTGTAACGAATCGTTAAATTCTCTCGTCAATTGCAAGAGACTGTAGCAAGCGGAGAGATAGTAAGAGAAAAAGAGAGCAAAAACATGGTTACAGTTGAAAGTATTATATCATCAATGAAATAAAGGAATAAAATCAATTGAGAAACAAAAGTAACAAAAAAAATATATATATAAAAAATAAAAATATATATATATACATATATATATATGTATATACATATATACATTTATATATATTATTCAAGTAGAGATTGCAGAGTAATGTGAAATTTATTAGAGGAAATAAACTCATTTGTGCTAATGCATTATATTTATTTCGTTTGAAACAATTTTGCACTTTATGAATTATTTTAGTTATTAATTTGTTTGTATCTTTTGAGAAACAAGAAAAATTTGTTCCTTATAGTTGAATCAAATTATGTATACACTTGAAAATGTGTATTAGAATTCCAAAAAAGAAATTTACTTGACCTTTCATTCGATTATCAAACGAGTTCAATTTACAATGAACAAAAGACGCATCCGTATCGATTCAGTGCCGTCCATCAAAACTCATTCAATGATACGATCCAAGCGCACAATAAACGTCTCGCTCAATCAGCGCGAAACGAGACGACAAGCTTTCTGTCACTCTGTTTTAGAGCGAGATCGAGAAAAATCCTTGTAGCGGGTGCCGTTCTACGAGCAGCGGGTTACGTTCAATATAACGCGAAACAACGCGGGACAACGATGCCGATGGGGTTGAAAGGAGGCACGGAGGTCGGGCGAGAGAAACGCGACTTTATCTGGAGTAGCGACCGTCATTCGTTGCGCGATGAAATATACGCGACAATCGGCGCCCAACGAAGCGGCGCACTAGGGTGGTAATAGTAGCAGTAATAGCAGTAGTAGTAGTAGTAGTAGCAATACGAAGATACGTACCCTGCCAGTTCGACAAGCTGATCGTGTCGCCCGCCTCGCGACGCCACGTGACCGTCGGCTCCGGTGTTCCTGTCGCCGCGCACCGTAGCGTCACGTTGCTACCCTCCCGCACCACCATGTCCGTGCTGGTGGGATAGTCCAGGATATCCGGCGGCACTGAAACAATGACCACATTGCGACGAGAACGTCCCGGCGAGAGAGAGAGCAAGAGAGAGAGAGAGAGAATGCTTGATGCGTGGACGCGAGCACGCGCGCGTACCAACGCGCGCGGCTGGTGCGCGATGACCATTCGCGTGGACCAGATAGATGGTTATCCCGCGACGAGAGCCGATCATGCACCGCGCTACCGCCCGTCGTGCAATATCCCGCGTGCACACACCGCACAACACCGCGGGGGCACGCGCGCGGCACCGACGACGCGCATCCTGGGATTCGCGCCCCATTCGTTCGCGGATGGCGGACGCTCGTAAAACCTCGATTCGCCCCGCCGAATCTCGCGTTTTCGCTCGAATTTTCGCCGCGTCCTGGACCATGTCCGGCCCGCGTCCACCCCTCCGCTTCCGCTTTCCCATACGGGGATATCTTTTTGTTGAAGGAACATTTCTTTTTGTTCTCTCTTTTTTTCGCAATCTTTGGCGCGTGACTTTAACGGTTCGTAACCCACGTTGCTTTTGTCGTAGATCGCAGCTCGACGGGGGTGTTGTACAAGGGCGCGTGGTATTACTTAGGGCAAATCTGCTTTTTACGACACGCACATGCCGTCGAGCGTGAGAGCACAAGCTGCTGAGTAAAATTTGGTATAAGATTACCTACCAGGTAGCCATGTTAAATTGTCATCAGCTAGATTATCATATGGCAATAATTTTATATATATTATTTATAATGTAATTTGTATACGACTATGCACGCTTTAAGGCATTAAATTACAATTTTTTTTCATTTACATAAACCTGCTGTATGTTGTACACATATATTGTTTTACAAATTTTACAAAATGTAAACAAGTTACAATTTATTACTCTCTAAATTTTCTGGAGTGACTGTTCACTCTTTTGGAGTGAATCTCATTCTAGAAAATTTAGAGAGTAGTTCTATAAATTAATGCACGCGCGAATAATTACGAACAGGATCTGAACTGACTAAGAGAACGATGTAAGTGGATTACGCGAAAGGAACTGCGTAAGCAACCAATATATCATGCAAAGTAAATCCATCACCTCGCTTTATCCAAGTTTAGTAAATGACAGTTGGATACGATATGGCGGATTGTTTTGTGCTTAGACGATACATTAGATAGTTTAGAGTTATCGTCCATTCCTCTAATAATAAATCAACTTAAGCATTAAAATCAAATGCTAATATAAATACGTAGAATTATTTTATCTCGTTTGTATTGTCAAAATTTTTATGTCAATCCATCTCGTTTTAATTTTAATTTAACTTTGTTATTCGATCGTTTTTTACACAGAAATGTTCTTTTATAAAGTACGGTAATATAAAACGTAGAAAAAATTTATGCATTTGAAAAATAAAGCAGCTGCGACTGGGATCGTGAAATTTTCCCCCTTGCTTTGACAAACGCGGCAAAATATTCCAGAGAGAAACCGCTCACCTCGATAGGGATAAAAATTCGCAGGAATCCCATCCCTCTTGCGGTTAGACGTTTTTGTGTTTGTAAAACGATTGAATGGACGTTATTTATCCATTTGTCTTGGAACCCATTCATCAAACGAGTTGAAATAGAAGAATTGTATTATCATATTTAGAATGCGCTTTAGCAAAGAGAACTTCATGAAGGGATATAATTTTAATTGCATCTTAATCTGCTACTTGATTACCGTATTAATTAATAATACGCGAAAACTATATTTTCAGGTTCATTGATTTAAATATTTAATTGAATTTTTATTTGATAATTTAAGTGTTGATCTTCTCGTTCTTTTTTCTTTTTCTTGTTAAAAAAATAATGTTACTGAAAAAATGTAATTGTCATGATTATGTACATTTAAGAATAAGAATTTGCTGTAAATGTAAAATAGCTAAAATTTATTTTATCCCTTTATAATTTAATTTATATTGTATAAAAAAATTCACAATCTAGTTAATTATTTTATGTCTCGCATATAAATTCTACATTATCTTCAATCTTTAAATTTATTCCATAAAAATAAAATTAATAAAATTAATGGATTGTCAATTTTGTTCAATTTAAAAGGGCGAATTTTAATTTAACGAAATATTTACTTTTCTTGATTTATTTAGTTAACTAGGTCGACACAATCATTGATTTGGCCGTCTTTAATATAATAAGATATATGATTGATAGTAAATACTATTTTTATAAACGTAAGCAAAATATCTGCCCGATATTTTTTTTTGTTATCATCATATGTATTGTGAACGATAAGAGAAATTCCTAAGAACTTCTTTTAAATTCTTTTACATTCACGTATCTACGTTATATTGATTTATTCAGAATGGATTGGCAGTTTGCAAAAATTTTTACGGCATCAGCAAAACAAAGATTATTCGCGTGTATACACGGGGGCGACCTTTTCAATAGAGCGTAGGTATATAGAACGCGGTTTATTACGGGTATATCGCCACTGTTCACGATGATCGACCCGCGAAACCCTTCGCGAAAATAATCTTTACCGCGCCGGTGAACGGTGGGGCCATCGACGCGATACATTTTTCGCGGCAACAATGCGACGAATTTCGTTATCGAGTTGCTTTCGAGACGGAATAGGGCCGAATATGGCTGGCGCACATGCAGTTTGTACACCAGAAAGACGGCTGGCCGGGAATGGTTTCCCACGGCTTACGCGGACTAAGTTCTTTCCCGGTCACGAAAGAGGCTACCTCCGTGAATAGTCCTCTCTCAGAGACCGACGTCGCGTCCCCCTGGTGAGTTACGAAAGACGTGTTCGGAAGGCAAAGAGGTTCCAGGACGAAGTTTTCGCGGATGCGAAAAAGCTACCGACGCGAATGGCGCTTTCGTGTGCTAACGAGACGACGATGGCGGCACTGGGAGCTGAGATTGCATAACAGCGTAAATCCGAGAGGCACATTAGGAATACAAAAGCTCCTCTTTACGATAATCGATAAATAATTTCTTTCCTATTACCGATAAATGAACCTATAATTAACTACAGCGCGATTGCTTTTTCTGACAATTATGTAAATCTGAATACAATTTCCCCATTGTTTTTAATATATATTTCGATATGCGAGTTAATTTATCTAATTAAATGAATTACAATGAATTGGTCAAATTTATTTTAAACCTTGAAACATTCGGTACACATTTAAAAGTGTAAAAAAAAGTCGGCAATACGCAAGACTGTATAGTTAGGCAGCGTCTGCAGTGCAAAGCATTCCCGCAATAATGTTTGCGAGGGTTTCCAAACAAAGGAAAGTCGAAATGAGAATTTTCTCTGACGACACAGCGGTATCACGGCAGTGTGCAGTCACATACCGAGGGCAACCGTACGGCAGCGAATTCTTCCAAAGAATTAAGCGGGCATCGGCCATCGAGCAAAAAGCAATTCCATGCCGGCATCGCTACGCCCGCGCCGTCACAGGTCACAGAGATATCACCGGGTCCGGTGCGCAATTCATTTCGCGCTTTGGCCCGACTGCGTCGGGCGCAAACGGGGCGAAAAAAAGCGCCGTATCCGCAGATAGTATATTTATTGATACGGGAAAACAATTGGGTCGAATTTATTATTTCATGCGTGCCCGCGCACCGGCGACGCGCGCCGTTGTTTTTGTTTGCTTTCACGGGGGATCGCGTTTTATTCGCGCGGACTGTACACAACCGCGTTTCATACCGCCGATATCTTCGAGTGTCCTTTTGAATGGCCGCTATATTTTGCGACGTCCCGATAACGTTTGAAAAGTTCGATCGGTCGAGAGCGAGAGCCACAGCGTTTAGACCAACGTGATACTAAATTGATGTATATACGCGTCGATCTTCGATGATTGAGTTACACAAAAGTGCAGGTAAAACTGTCAATCCTTTGCCATCTGAGATAATTTCGAGTAATGCGATATTAAATTTTTTTTCTATCGCAATCTCATCAACACTATATAATATAATCGATATCTTTCCTCTGTAATTTTTTTCATAGGACAAGGTCCGAAAATTTATTTGGTATAATAATAATACAATAATTTATTTAGAAAGATGTATATATGTATGCAGATTATAAGTGATCGAGGAATTAATTCAAAGCCACCCTGAAAATTTTAACACTTATTTTAAAAATTGATTGTAAAAAAGTTTAAAGTTTTACGATTAATATAATTGTTTAAGTTAAAAAAAGAGTAGATTTTATTTTTTTTTAATGACAAGATAAATTTGTTCTTTTATGTAACTGCAATATGGATTTAAATTCAATTACTTTGATACCAATCAAATAACTATATTTGTGTTGTACTCACGAATGCTTTACGCAATCGTGTATGCTCACACATTGGGAAAATGTACAATCAACCAATTGGTCACGTAAGTTGGAACATGTAACATCACACCAAGCCAAGTTGACCGAACCAGTAATTTAACTACGATAAACAAGAAATTAACGACGGTCGGTTGCGATAAGCTCGAGCTTTAGGTTTATGTAGGTATATGTATGCATTCTACGTACCTCGAAGAAGCAAAGGTTACAACGTATTAATGTCCATTATAAATTTAAAAGGAAATTTACAATTAATAATAAGAAAAATATCACACCGTTATATAAGCGAAGACTCTGCATGCCAACTGCACTACGCATTCAATAATCGAATTCGCGAAAAATAAAAAACAAACTGAATGATAAAATTTCTGCAAGTCAATATTTTGAACGGCGCAACGAATCTATATGCAATATTTGCTATTTCCATATTTCAGCATTTCGCTATTTTTATATTTTTAAAAAAGCTCGGAAATTGAACTCTCTCAACAAGTTTGATTATCCAAAGCTGATTATCGCAAAAGTGTACAAACGAAGCAATATTTACTGCAATTTACGTGCTTGTGTGAACTTAAGTACCGGCATAAGGAGAATTACGGTTATTACTGTTACAGAATAGTTGCCCTCTCAGTATAAATTTAACGTTATTTTACGAGTTGTGCTTCCCATTTATGCTGATTTCATGAAAACAATTTTTACATAATTACAACAAACTTTGCACTCGTCGAAGTAGCAATATCACGGTTTCAGCAAATAACGCAGAAATGAGAATTTCAGTATATATAATAGAAATCGTAATATATGCGTGAAAATATAATTTCTATGCGTGTGTATCTTATTCCTTCTTAAATGCAAATTAGAGTAAATGGCTATGATGGTTCATAATGCAAAAAAAAAAAAGGAAATAAACGACTAATTTCTCTGTTTTCCTTTATTTTCACGTTTAACTAAAGTAGCAGCCGTTATTATTAGACAAAAGCCAATGATTCACTATTGTATTCCAATTATTACAAAGCATGCTTCAAAACTATCGAAGACATTGTTTCGCAAATTAACAAATACAAAAGATGCAAAATTAATTAACCTATTGTAATTATACGCTCCCTAAAACTCGCTTATATACCATAATAATTTTGCGTCATTTGTGCCGTTTTTTTTCCCCGTTCCTTCCTGCTCGAGCGATGCAAACTACCGAAGAATGCAATGTCCGCATATCATCCGATAAAGCAAGATAAAGCAAAATAGCCGACTCTTTTCTTTTCTCTCTCAGCCTCGGCGATATAGTCGACGATAGGGCAGGCCGATAAAGAAGAATCTTAACGAGGGGTTGCGGTGAAGTTAAACTATACGCTTATACGGAGGTTCTACGGCGCGCGGGTGGCTGGGCGGTTTGCGGTGCGGCGTGAGGAAGCCGACCGGTTATTAGAACGAGGAGCACGAGTTGCCGGGAAGGTGTCTAATAGCCCGCCAAGAGTACAATCGCCCTCGAAGGTTTCGGCGCGGGGATACGTATTTTACATACATTTGCATCCCGCCGCCACAAATCCGGCCGATCGCGAAGGGCCGGGGGGCGGGTATCGCGGGGAGGCGTCTCTATCTTGGCAAGCCACCCGAAAGGGCTCGCCGAGGTGTGAAATCTTTAATCTGTTCAGCTGCTTTCTCGTCCAACAAAACGTTATTTCAGATTTCACAGCAAAGTTTATCGCGTAACGTTGTTTTAAATTTACTAGTAGAAAAACACTCAAGCGCGCGCGTGCGTATGTGCATCCGTGAGGGGAGGAAAGGGGGAGGAGACAACCAAGATAGACCGCAATCAATATAATACGTTTATACAAAATAATATAAATGTTTTAGTATTGTCATATTCGCTACTCAAATTAATTTCTTAAATTAAAGATTATTTTTACGAAACATTATATTTTAAACACTTAAACTATAAATCTTTATTTGAACATGATTTTGTTATATTTACTAATACACTGCAAAAATGTGAAAAACACATGCTTGAATGTGTATGCATGTATAAAGAAATGTCCCAGCGATCAATATTAAAATTAATTTTAGTAACGTCTACTAAATTAATTTATAAATTTACAAGAATTTTTATTATATCGTTTTGTTATTTCTTTCCATAAAATTTTTATTTATGTAAACGAATTAAAAGATTTTCCTTTAAAATGGACACTTATCCGTCCATGAATGTTCGCTCGTCTTACTTAACTTCTAGTTAACGTGAGCTTTGCAATGTATCAATGGGATACTATCTGCGAGCTTGTTAAGAGATATAAATCAGTAAGCTCTGCTGAGGTATTTATGGAGATGCATTAGCTTTCCACGGGAGTATAGAATGCCAGCATTTATTTGGTAATTTCCGGCAGTCCGATATTCATCTCTCGAATGCTATTGCGCCGCAGCGCGATAGAGCCGACCAATGATCTCTAAAAGTCAAGAAGTGTGTCAGACCTTCGTCAAGCTGACCGATAATTAATTGCAGGGCGGAAAAGATACTTTCATTAATTTAAGAGAAATAAGATAAAGCCAGGTGTCCAATCTAATAAAAGTAACGAAGTCAACTATCAATCGTAAAATAAAGGAAAAATTTAGGAAACTTGAAAAAAAAGAACTGTTTTATAAACTTTTAATTTATTAAGCAAAACAAAAATAATTTTGTTTTTTTTTGTTATTTTACATACACGGAAAGAACACTTTTACTGAATCCAGAACTGAAAATAATTTTTGTTCAATAATCAAAATAATTTTGTGCAAAAGTCAAAATATTACTAGAATATAACAATCGTTTTATAGCAATACTTATCAGTTTTAATATTCCAGCAAATTATTTTGATGATTTAATATAAAGTTATTTTCAGATCTGTTTTTTAGCAAAATTTTTAAATCTTTCAACAAAATCGTTCTTTCCGTGTAGTAATTATTTTATGAGACAGAAACAATATTTTATTTTAAAAATTATAGAATTATTAATTAATTGTAAAAATTAAAATTAAAAAATTGCTACAAGAATATATATAACAAAATAATTCATAATAATAGATTTACTTGCGGAAAATTTATTAATTATAGAGAAGATCGGCTTTGCGGATATGATTATGTTGTACATGGTGTTCCCCGGGAAGCCGCGAAACAAATAATCAAGGATTGAATATCGGTGTCTTGTAGTAGCAATCACGGCTTTCTCTAGAGGTACTACGGTGTCCGCTAAGACGACCGTAGTTGGCGAAGTTTGACAAGTTGGCGGTAACAGGGACGGTGGTACCAAGTGCCAAGAAAGTTCCGAGGAAGGATCAGTTGATGCATAGTCACGGGAAGAAGGATGCGCCCTGCCAGCAAAGGACGTGTTCCGCGGGACAATCGCGAGTTACGTATACATGGAAAACGCTGAATCCGCCTGTGCTTAGTCGAGTTTCGCAAGGACTAGTCAAGTATCCCGGACTTTCTGGATGGCGCGGGGTTACAAATTCACGAGCAATCTCGAACGTACGATTTGCTCGCAAATATTTGTCGGCAGCGGTCCTTAAATCATTCCGAGATTCTCATTCCCTACTCAATTTTCCGCCTCTTAGGCGTTATGAAAACTGGAAATTGCGCGCAATAAGTTTAATGCCGGTTTTAAATTATGTGTACGCTATATATGACAGTCTTATTTTCATTTTAATACACGCGTTTACACATACTAGTTAACGATTATTTAAAAAAGGCTTTTATTTATTTGTACTATTATTAAATAATCGGAAAGGGATCTACGCAAATGTAAATGCGACAAATATAATTATCCGTACAAATAATTTACAGTTGAGCATTCCTAATAATAATATAAAAATAAATAGTCATTATACGAAATAAAAAAAGTATATGTACATTAAAACTGATGAATTTCGCATCTTCCTTAAATAACACTCGATTTGGCGATGTTTTTTGCAATCATTTTAAAATTAATAATTAAAATCACAACAGGAAAAAATTTAAAATAAAAATAAAACCAGAACTGCAAAATAAAATAAAATATGCAACGAGTATTTAAATATTATGCTTTTTCATGCACCAGAATAATAATGCGTTTGAATAATTATAACAAAGTGATAGAAAATTTTAGCAATAAACTTTCAGAGAAAACGAATAGGAATGGACATATCACGCAAAGTCCGAACATTCAAAGCGTCGCATCTCACTGCCACTCGTCATTGAGATTGTACGAGTTACATCACCAGACGTGTCAGGTGTGACACGTTAATCTATATTGAGTGCAGAGTGGAAATTATTTGTAATTTTTCAAACAGACCATAATAAAACGGCGCGTGGTATTATATTTATTCAGTGCACGTGACACACGATGTCCTCGGCGACGGATATGGAAATGTTCTGCTCGACAAAACTTGCAATAATTATGATTTCTCATTTGTTTAATACGACAATAAAATGTTTGGGTTTAGCAATGCAGATAAAAATTAATGTTATGCAATTTAATTCAATTTATGTACTTTTTACACACAGCAAATTTATATGTCTGCTTTGATAATATAGTATATTGTCACTATATATGTTTTTAACAGGAAATCTCTTTTTCTCTCTCTCTTTTTCCATCGCATTCTCTCTTTCTTTTTCTAGTACAATACTTTATTAAAACTAATTTATAATGCTGTGTTAAACATTATTCCAATAATTAATAATTTTTAATTAATAACTTTATTAATATAATTATAATTTTATTATTATAACGTAATTTATATAAAGTTCTATATATTGCGGTAGATTAGTTTACTCTCTGTAACTAATTTCGCGTTCTCTGCTCCTCCTTTATCTTGCAAGTACATTATTATAATTATATTTTATAAAGTATTAAATAGTTTTATAAAATATAATTATAATATAAATTATACAACAAAAATTGGCTTTTTAATTTTATGAATGATTATTTTTCTGAAAAAAAATTTGTTTTTATCGGTAATTATAGTAAAAATAAATTGTTTCGATTTATAGTAGCATTTTATAGCAACAATACTTGTGGTGCATTGCATTGAACTAAATATGTTCATAGCTATTACTTTCTGTTGCATTACGTTATGCAAATTTTAAATACTTATACGACGTTCTGTTATAATAATAATTATTCTTTTGTTCATATAATATTAATTATCTTTCTGCCTACATTAATAAACATAATGCTTATTCTCCAAATGTGAACATAATAGAGTAAAGGAAAGCTTTTTTAAGAAGAATTAAAAAATCTTGATCTTTACCAACGACTTCGAGAAATCCAGTGATGCTGGACATCGGGTCAGTATTAACCTGGCACATGTACCAACCGCTGTCGGTCTTGCGCGTTTCTCTTATGTGCAGAGACCACGCACGATGGCCACTGTGTGTCACAGCGATCCGATGATTCTTCGTAATAACGTGAGTCGCTATCGTCAGAATCGTCTGCGTATCGACTCGTAGCCACGCTACCTGCAACACAAATTAGATGATCGATTTATTAAAATAATCCATTGAAATAAAACGCTTCACATGTGCAGCGTTGTACTCGTTATGCAAGTCCAAATGTCTTGTTTATATACCGACTTTTTAGGCTGCGCATAACATGGGGAGAAATTCAATTTAATCATAATCGAATGTTATAAAAATACGATGTAACAAAAGTTATATATTATATACAATAGATAAATTAATTCGCGTTGACAGACGATTGCAAAAGATAAAACAAGGAAAATATCGAAAAAAATACAAAAGTAGGAATGTTATTTTACAATAATAGAGTTTCCATTTTAATTGGCTCCTACCCAGCGAAGCGTACAACCAACATTTTTGAAATCGTTTTCAAACATCTAGAAATATTTTTATTCCCGGAATATTTCTTCCATCGTTTCGGTTATAACGATTTTAATTACTTTGGCTTTTTTGAATTGCACTTTATTAATTCCTGTCCGGAATAATCACAGAAATAATTAAAATATTGTCATTTTCTTAAATTTAACGAAGCGATTTTCTCAATCGATTATGAAAATGACCAAGTATTTGCTAAGCATTTTGAGACAGGCATTTCGAGTACATGTGTGGAATTAAATTTTCGAGATGCACATTCCATATCTAGCTTTCCCGCAGCACTATCATATTCAGAGTGATAACAGACGCTGGGTAGGTACTTTGTACCACTTTAGCCTATTGCAGGCTGCGTTAGTGGAGTTAATATTTTACTATATCGTGTTGTAAAACAGATTTACATTACAAGTTTCGCCCGACGGGGAATGAAAAAAAAAAGAAAACAGCGTTTAGAGAAAAATTTTCATTTAATTATAATAAACGCAATAATCGGCGGTTGCTAAAAAGGATTGACAGAAGATATATTTTCATTATAATTTTATATCAAGCGATAATTTTATAAAATCAATGACCAAACTTTATTTATTGTTATCATTATAATTGTTTTTTTTCCATAGAATAAGAATTTCTCTATTATCATATATTTTTATATTGAATTTTAAAGATAAAAATCTTTACACTGTTATTTTATAGACATATAATAACTCAAATTTAATTATAAAACAGTAATAAGACAATGTAATGCATTTTTCAAGCATTTCAAATAGAATTACAGCCACATCCGAATTTGAGTTCCATAATTGAAACAACGTGTTAAATTCCTCGCCAAGTGACGTTCAAGAATATGTCAAAGCTACAAGTGTCAAGCTATAAAGCTATCATGCTGAGACGCCAAATCAACGGGAATAATAATGTGTGCGACCTAGTTATACCGCTTCACCTGTCTCGTACCATTTCCTACAAAAGGCACACACAATCCTTTTATCTGATCCAATATTCGTGAGATACCAGCACATGCACTATGAAATACACCTATCGCTTTGCAGATCGTATCGCAACCCAGCCAGGGTATCTCATTAAAAAAGTAAATACCATTCTTACTCCTCGTACTTATTCTTCGTAAGAGAAAAAAAAATAAAGATCTCTCCAGGACGATGTCGCACGCGGTTTTACTTATGGATGTCCGTTGCGAGTCTCTTCCGCTTTCCGTGCGCTGCAAGCCTTCTTCCCTGTCCCCGACCATCGTCTCAACCATCGTCTCTCCCGTCCTCATTGCGGAAGCTGTCAACGCGTCTCATCGCCCAAGTGCTACCGACAATGTACTCGAAGCTTACCAACTACGCTCGTAACATAAAGAACGTGGGGATGGAGAAAGAGAGAGAGAGAGAGAGAGAGAGAGAGAGAAAGAGAGAGAGAGAAGGGAGAAAAGAAAAAGGAGAGATAGAGGGAAGTACAGTGAAAGAGAGTTAGGAAAGAAGAGACGAAAAAAAAGAAGTCATTGTTACGCCAAAGTCTGTGATACACTCCGGCATCGTTTTAGAGCACGCAACATCCGTCTCTGTTTTTCCACATCCATACGGTCCGTAGGCGGTGTGTGTCGCGTATCCATCGCGTGTCCTTCGTGTGTGCCGGACAGGCGTAGGGTGCTCTAATCGCGAGGAACGAGTAAAAGAGAAAACGTTTTTCAGAGAGCGACCTCGTGGGCGAGGACAAGGGCGAGGAGACGAGAGGGCGGAAAAGCGGTGGTTACGTCCGTCGAGAAAGAAACCCGGAAAAGAAGGTACCGGGGCGCACCAGCGAGCGCGCGAGCGGCGAAGAAAGCGGCGGTGAAGCGCGGACGATGGAAGGGTGGGGAGGGCAGAGCGGTTGTAAATTGTGTGCTCAAGACGAGGGGGGTGCAAGAGCTCTCTCGAGGTTGATAAAAGAGACGTGTACGGCGCGGCCGCGCACTCGCGCGCCTACATGCATATAGGTACACTCCGTTTTCTTTTTCCCACCCTCTCTCTTTCTCTCCGTGAGTATCCCGGTGGTATCGGTGCATGTAGGTACGCCTATTACGTACGCATGATGAGCTCTATGAACGCGCGTAATGGAAGCGCATCATCCCTCCTTCACCCCGCCCGTGAGCCGCCGCGCCGTCGGCTGCAATTACTCAAGCTCGTGTATAACCGAAATGCAACCGCCGCGAACGCGCGTAGCGCGGTGTCGGCGTCGGCGTCGCGGTGTGGCATGGCGTGGCGCGGCGTGGCGTGGCGTGGCGTGGTGTGGCGCGGCGCGGTGCGGCGCGGAATGGCACGGCACGTTTCGCTTTTACAAATGATCCGTTTCGCGGTAATGATATAATTGCGCCTGTCGCAGTGTAATCTCGCTGTGCGCGAGCGCGCGAGTCTCGGGCGCGCGTCTGAATAAACGCCCACGGAATTCTCTCGTACCTTTCTATTCTCCTTTTCCTCGCGCACCACATCCGCCACCGCTACAACCGCGCCAACCCGGCGCGATACGCTTCCGTATCCACTTCTCTCTCTCTCTCTCTCTCTCTCTCTTTTTTTCTTTTCGTTTTCGGCCACTGTTGTGTTTCCTGCCTTGGACGTGCCATGACCAACCGGTTTGCCAGTTGAAAGCGGCGAGAGGAAATCAGAACTCGGCGGCAACTCTTTATTTTCGTTTACGTCAGTCGGTTGCACGAGACGATACCCGTGTATACCCTATATACCTCCCCTTTCTCTCTTTTTTACTCGGACTCTTTCCTTCGCGCCCTCACCCTTCCACTCCTCTCGTCAACCACCCGTTGCACCATCATCCCTCCCCTCTCTCCGCCTCATCTCTTTTAGTTGCGGCAAGTAGCGGAGGGGTATATCCGCGGGTAGTTCTTTAATTTCGCGAAATATCTTTCCGTGAGGCAACGGCCGCTTTCGCGACTCGGACTCGCGCGGTGAAAAATGACTCGGGCAAGTTCGCCTCGAGGGGTGGTACCGTGTCCTGGCCCTCGGAGAGACGATCGCTCATCCTTTCTCCTTCGATTTCTCTTCCGTTCGCGTGCGCTCGCGCAATCGTCGCCGGATGTAAGCGACGGTGGAGAACGCCGCGCGATGAATACTTACGTCGAAGCGATGACGGTATAATGCCGGGCGAGATTCTCGATGTTACGCTTCTCGATATTTTTTAGCGTGAATAATTTTTTATCCGATATCCTTATGGTCTTCTAAATCATGCTGTATCGGGTTAACAAGATTTATCGGCACTCTTAATTATTGTCAAGTACCGCTTCCAGTGACGGCACTAGTTGACGTAATTCTATTTATTTGACTAATTGGATGGTACAGAATCGTGTCCGCGCGTTACCGCGAGTGCTTTTAAATAATTAGATTACACACGGATATACACACATATCCACATGCGCTAATACTCTACGGCATGTAGCTACAAATAGTATCTCAAAAAGCATTTCGTACGCTTTATGCGGGCATTATTTAAAATTACGCTTTCCAAATACACGAGTTAATTTTACTTTACTTACTAGCATTGTTATTGCGATTAGAGTTTGTACAACATTTAGAGAGGGTAAAAATGTGGTACGGGCAGCGTGAACGTGCACCCCCGTAATGTTACACATACATACACGCGTATATACCTACAGTACGACGTGCACGCGGTGAGAAATTAAAACTACATTACGAGTTATATACGAGCGTCTCTTACGTACACATATACAATACATCGCCTGAATATCGTTACGCCTAAAGAGATGGTCTTTAGACGCGCGCAACGTCGTGCGCGATATGAATAAAAAATAATGTTTTTTTTTCCCCCTCCGCCGTCGCGCGATGTATACTGTACCTACACAGCGACGTAATTACTCGTAGCTCGCGGCCGATGGCTTACGAAGAAAAACGAAAAGACAGTGATTCGTATTTACCCGTCTGCGCAGCTCGTAGGTGCTCAAATATTTTAACAAGATACGAGCGCGGCCAAGCGATTTTCCGATATAATAACTTATCCAGAAGAGGGAACTGTATTCGACGCGGCTGCTTCGACTGGCTACGATCTCGAAGGTATCGTGAAATTTTCGACGTAGCTTAATAGCCGAGCATCGTGCTCTCATCTAATTTAACGACGGTAATCGATTAAAGATAATGCAACACCTATCTTCGTTTAATACGTCAATTAAAATTAAAAAAAAATTGTTATAATGTATTAAAATGTGTTACATTTTAATACGTATTTAAATAGAGATTTCGTTACACATCATTTGCACCTTCGAAATATTCCGTCGATTAGGAATATCAAAGGATGAATAATATTGTAAATGAATTTAAATTCTATAATCAACGTATTCAAATGAAATTTTTTCATTTGAATGTGAATCGTGGATGTTATTCGCGCGTTACCAAAAACAAATTTCAATCATTTACGGATAATGTAATTGTATCATTTTATTTTGTTTTTTTTTCTCCAATGTGAAACACATAAAATAAATGCGATGAAAAATTTCGGTTGCTTCCTTTTCGAAGCAAGTGATATACGTATACACCGCCGTGTACGGAGCGTGAGAGGGAGATTTACTGTTTGCGATATCACGACGTACGACAATGTATGTCACGCTGCTAATTCGCAAAACAAAGCGTCAT